TCTATTTCGATGAAGAATGTCATTGGTAGTTTGACAGGGATTGCACTGAATCTGTAGATTATGTTGGGTAGTATGAACATTTTAACAATATTGTTTCTTTCAATCCATGGACATGAGTATCTTTCCTTCTTTGCATGTCCTCTTTAATTTCTTTCATCAGTTTTTTTATACTTTTCATTATGGAGATTTTTTACTTCTTTGGTTAAGTTAATTTCTAGGTATTTATTTATTTGTTGCTATTATAAATGGGATTTCTTTTTTGATTTCTTTTTCAGCTTGTTCACTGTTAGCACATAGAAATGCTACTGATTTTTGTATGTTGATTTTTGTATCCTGCAACTTTATTGAATTTGCTCATCAATTCTAATAGTTTTTTTGTGGAGTCTTTAGTTTTTTCCAAATATAAGGTCATATCATCTGCAAACAAGGATAATTTGACTTTTCTCTTCCAATTTGGATGCCCTTCATTTCATTCTCTTGTTTGATTGCTCTGGCTAAGACTTCCAATATTATGTTGAATAATGGTGGTAAAAGTTATCATGTTCCAGATCTAAGATCTGCTACTGTTGTATTGGGATCTATCTCTCACTTTAGCTCTAATAATATTTGCTCTTCATTTCATTCTCTTGTTTGATTGCTCTAGCTAAGACTTCCAGTATTATGTTGAATAACAGTGTTAAAAGTTATCATGTCCCAGATCTGTGATCTGCTACTGTTGTATTGGGATGTATCTCTCACTTTAGTTCTAATAATATTTGTTTTACATATCTGGATGCTCCAGTGTTTGGTGCATATATATTTACAATTGTTATATCCTCTTGCTGAAATGACCCCTTTGTTATTATATAATGACTTTCTTTGTCTCTTCTTACAGTTTTTGTCTTGAAATCTGTTTTGTCTGATGTAAGTATAGCTACTCCTCCTCGGTTTTGTTTGTTTGTTTTCATTAGCATGGAATATCTTTTTCCATGTCTTTATTTTCAGTCCATGTGTATCTTCATAGGTGAGGTGTGTTTCTTGTAGGCAACAGATCATCTGGGTCTTGTTTTTTTCATCCATTCAACCACTCTATGTCTTTTTTTTTTTTTTTTTTGAGACAGGGTCTCACTCTGTCATCCAGGCTGGAGTGCAGTAGCACAGTCACAGCTCACTGAACTGTTGACCTCCTGGGCTCAGGTGATCCTTACACCTCAGCCTCCCAAGTAGCCACTCTGTGTCTTTTGATTGCAGACTTTAGTCCATTTACATACAATGTTATTACTGACAAGTAGGGGCTTACTCCTGCCATTTTGTTATTTGTTTTCTGGTTGTTTTTTATTGTTTCTTCCTTCTTTACTTCCATTCTGTCTTCCTTTTAGTGAATGTGATTTTCTCTGGCGGTGTGCTTTAATTTCTTGTTTTTTATTTTTTGTGTATCCATTGTATGTTTTTTTATTTGAGGTTACCATGAGGCATGCATATACCATCTTATAACCCATTGTTTTAGGCTGATGACAACTTAATACTAATTACATAAAGAAATGCACAGAAAGAAAACTAATAAGAGCCCTACACCTTAACTTCCTCCCCTGCTTTTTAACTTTTTGTTGTTTCTCTTTGTGTCTTATTGTACTGTTTATACCTTGAAAAGTTGTTAATATTTTTGGTTGGTTCATCATTTAGTCTTTCTCCTTAAGACAAGAGTAGTTTACACACAACCATTACAGTGTTATACTATTCTGTGTTTTTCTATGTGCTTCCTATTTCCAGTGGATTTTATACCTTCAGATGATTTCTTCTTGCTCATTAACATCCTTTTCTTTCACATTGGAGAACTACCTTTAGCATTTCTTGTAGGATGGGTCTAGTATTGATCAAATCCCTCAGCTTTTGTTTGTCTGGGAAAGTATTTAATTCTCCTTCGTGCCTGAAGGGTATTTTCACCAGATATACTATTCTAGGGTAAAAGATTTGTTTCCTTCAGCACATTAAATATGTCATGCCACTCTCTCCTGGCCTGTAAGGTTTCCACTGAAAAGTCTGCTGCCAGATGTATTGCAGCTCCATGGTATGTTGTTTGTTTCTCTCTTCTTGCTGCTTTTAGGATCCTTTCTTTATCATTGACCTTTGGGAGTTTGATTATTAAATGCCTTGAGTTAGTCTTCTTTGAGTTAAATCTGCTTGGTGTTCTATAACCTTCTTATATTTGAATATTCATATCTTTCTCTAGGTTTGGGAAGTTCTCGGATATTATCTCTTAGAGTAAGTTTTTTACCCCTATCTCTTTTTCTACCTCCTCTTTAAGGTCAGAAAGTCTTAGATTTGCCTTTTTTAGACTATTCCCTAGATATTGTAGGCATTCTTCATTGGTTTTTATTCTTTTTTCTTTTGTCTCCTCTAACTGCATGTTTTCGGATAGCCTGTCTGCAAGCCACTAATTCTTTCTTCTGCTTAATCAATTCTGTCATTAAGAGGCTCTGATGCATTCTTCAGTATGTCAATTGCATTTTCAACTCTAGAATTTCTACTTGATTATTTTTAATTATTTCAATCTCTGTATTAAATTTAATCTCTGTATTAAATTTATGATAGAATTCTGAATTCTTTCTCTGTGTTATCTTGAATTTCCTTGAGTTTCCTCAGAACAGTGATTTGAATTCTCTGTCTGAAAGGTCATATATCTCTGTTCTCCCAGGATTGGTCCCTGGTGTCTTATTTAGTTCAATTGCTGAGGTTATATTTTCTTGGATGGTGTTAGTGCTTGTAGATATTTATCAGTATCTGACAGGACAGTGAGATCTAGGCAATCTCATTAATCCTTAATTTCCTTATTTATAACATATGTATATACATATTTACATTTGTACATTTTAGAAAACATATATTATAAATCCTTGCTTTCTTTTTTATAATATATATATTATAAAGTTGTTGTATGCATGCCAGAAAAAAATTAACAAAAAGAATATGAAATTTAAAAAAATAAGGTTGTTGTGGAAATTGGATAATACCTGTAAAACTCTTAGCATAAGTGCCTGGCACAGAGTAAGCACTCAGTATTTGCTGCTGTGAAGGTGGAGGTAGAGGTAGTAGGGAAGAGGAGGTACTGATCAATGTGGCAAAGGACATGGTTGTAGTACAGAGAGTGGCACTCATCCCAGGGGAGAATACTCCTGAACTGAATCTTAAAGAACGACAGAGTTCATGAAAAATCAAAGCACATTGGCAAAGATATAGAACCATATAAAATGTTGTGTATATGTGCTGCAGCAATTTGGTGCTAATAGAACTTGATGTAGGAATTGGAAATGATAGTTAGCTGATGAGACTGGAAAAGTTGGCCACTGTCAAGTCATTGAAGGTACTGGACTTTTTTCTTTCTTTCTTTTTTTTTTGACACGAAGTCTTGCTCTGTTGCCTAGGCTGGAGTGCAGTGGCACGATCTTGGCTCACTGCAACCTCTGCCTCCCAGGTTCAAGCGATTCTTCTGCCTCAGCCTCCCAAGTTGCTGGGACTACAGGTGTGCACCACCATAGTTGGTTAATTTTTGTATTTTTACTAGAGATGGGGTTTCACCATATTGGTCAGGCTAGTTTTGAACTCCTGACCTCCTGATCTGCCCCCCTCAGCTTCCCAAAGTGCTGGGATTATAGGCGTGAGCCACTGCGCCTGGCCTTTTTGTATTGGACTTTTTTCTAAGCAAAAGGGAGACGTTGAAGAGTTTAAGGAGAGAGATGACATGGTCATATTTGCATTTCTAGCTAGCTCACTCTGATAGGGTGAGGATGCTTTGAAGTGGAGACAGTAACTGAAGCAAGCTCTTTAATAGTTCATTTGAGAGATGACGGCCAGAACTAGGTCCATACTGATTGAGAGTGCAATGTCATTGTATTACTATGTTCTCACACTGCTGTAAGGAAATACCTGAGACTGGGTAATTTATAAAGGAAAGAGGTTTAATTGACTCACAGTTCCACACTGCTGGGGAGGCCTCAGGAAACTTACAATCATGGTGGAAGGGGAAGCAGGCACAGACCTTCACATGGCAGCAGGAGAAAGGAGAGTGAATGAACAATGGGGAAAGAGCTCCTTATAAAACCATCAGATCAAGTGAGAACTGAATCACTATCATGAGAACAGCATGGGGGAAACCACTCCCATGATCCAATCACCTCCCACCAGGTCCTGCCCTCCACACGTAGGGATTATGGGGATTACAATTCATGATGAGATTTGGGTGAGGACACAGAGCCAAACCATATCAGTCATTCTTGTACATATTTTTCATATAGTAAACTCAGGTCCAGTCCAAGATTTCGTTTGAAAAACCAGGCTAGACAGGTTGTAAGGTATATGAGAGTGCAGGTCTTGTCCATGAGGACTCTAAGAAGCCCTATCCATGATTGTGTATCTGGTTCCTCTGTCTCACTGATTCAGTGATCTCTTCTGTTCCTGTAGGCTAGATATGATTTGTTATGATCACCTAGATCAAATACTTCCACCTAATGGAAAACCCACTTTTTTTTTTTTTAAGTCAAGGCACTAGGGTGAAGAAGAGTGAATAAAGTGATAACTTGAAGGCAAAAAATACTAGAAAGTAGATCAAAGAAAAAGGAATTTGATTTTAACCTACATTTTACTAAAATCTTATTTTCTTCATCTATTTTCCTTCCTTATTCATGAAGGTTTAAAAATGAAATCATAATTTTTTTCTTGCATAAAGGTAGACAGTGAAAAAACAAAGAATTCAGTTCTGTTGTATTCACTTTATGTCCTCCTGTGCTCTGTGGGAAATGGACTTCCAGTTGGTCAAATTTCCCCCAGCACAAATCCTGCGGCAAGGAGCTGCATCCATTTTGTAGATAGGGGTCTATGGGAAGAGTAAGTTAACGTTTTTTGCATATTAGAAAGGATGGTACCATTTCTGTCTGTGTGTGTATGTATGTAAGTATATATTCCACATACTATACAATTCATCCATTTAGAGTGTACAGTTTAATTGCTGTTTGTTTCTTTAACAGGGAAAAAAAGATGTGACCCAGATATTTAACAACATCCTGAGAAGACAGATAGGCACTCGGAGTCCTACTGTGGAGTATATTAGTGCTCATCCTCATATCCTGTTTATGCTCCTCAAAGGGTAGGTACATGGCTTCCTTTCAAGTAGGGCTAAGTTTTTAATTGTTGTTGAAAGTACATAGCATTAACCTCATTTGAGATATGATCAGTTCCCTTTTAGAACTGCAGTCAAGGTATTTGTCTTGTGTGAGGTCAGCCCTCTAGATCTGTCTCTGTGATTACTTAGGCTGCAGCAAAATCCTTTCTTTGCACCTTAATGTTTCTAAATGTTATGTTTCCATTTACTGCCTTCCTTTTCTCCACAGTTCTGCTATTTCTGTCTCTTCCTATTACAGTATTGCTTATGCTTCCCTATCTGCCCTATTCGTAGCTGCCCACTTACCCTTTTCCTGACTGCTTGAGACTGAATGCCCTCAATATACACACAAGCACACACATATATATTCTGCTTCTGGAACTGAAATACAGATATGAGAGTTTTTCCAGTAGCTAGCATCTGCCAAGGTGAATGTATGTGGGTCTATAGGGAAGCCATAGAAATGAAGTTGAGCTAGGTAATAGAATCCCTGATTATTATTTTTATGTACACTTATTTATAAATGTTTCTTGGGCGTTTGGGGGCTACTCTGAATCATAATGACTGGAGATCTGGGTGTAGCAAAGCTTGAGGACAGCAGACCATCTTCTTCCTCCCCTTGTCTTTTTACTCCACTATCTTAAACCAGCACATCTCTTTATTTTATTATATTCTTGTTTTCAATCCTGCTGTTTCATACCTAGTCCATCTCACCTGTGTTCATTTTCTCTCTTGTACATTTTAAATATTTAATTGTATCAAAATAATACATTGTTTAAAAATCAGATATATCAATAAATAGTTCTTTGCCTCTTTCTTTTTTCTTTCTTTCATATATGTGTGTGTGTGTGTGTGTGTGTGTGTGTGTATATATATATATATATATTTTTTTTTTAAGACAGTGTCTTGCTCTGTTGCCCAGGCTGGAGTGCAGTGGTGCAATCTTGGCTCACTGCAACCTCTGCCTCCGGGGTTCAAGCAATTCTCCTGCCTCAGCCTCCTGGGTAGCTGGGATTACAGGTGCCCACCACCACACATGACTAATTTTTGTATTTTTAGTAGAGACAGGGTTTCACTATTTGGTCAGGCTGGTCTCGACCTCCTGACCTCAAGTGATCTGCCTGCCTCAGCCTCCCAAAATGGTAGAGTTACAGGCATGAGTCACTGCGCCCGGCCTCTTTGCCTCTTTCTTCTCCATTTTTCAGTCCTATTACCCAAAGACAACCACTTTTATCTTTTTTATTTGTTCATTTGTTTATTTGTTCATCATTGTTTTCATCATATATTTACCTCTGTGTTACAAATAATGGGCTTCTACTAATTTTTCATTTATCAATTTTAAGCAGTATCTTTGACAAGATAAACTAGATGATAGTCTTTTTATTGCCACCATTATTCTATTTCCTTTCCTTTATCTTCCTAATAAACTTTATCATAATTTTAAATTTTAATAATCACATTTAGATTATTATGACTGTGTAGTTATTATTTATTAGTGAGCAAAGTAGTATACTGTGATTACTTTGGTTTTGCGTACAAAATAATTGTTTTACTGGAGAATTGTTTCTTCAGTTCTGGAAAGGGAAAGATCCTTGTATCATGTATTAGTTAGGGGATGCAAAGCCTCTATAACACATAGACCCCAAAGTGAAGTGGCCTCACAGCAAGTTAAGTATATTTCTCATGTAATAGTGCAGAGCAGATGTTCTAGTTCATCAGGGGGTTCTGTCATCTTCAGCATGTGCTATCTAAGATCACTTTGTTCATTGCCATTTCAACCCACAGAAAGGTGAAAGTATGTAAGAGATTTTATGTGTTTAGAGAATGACAAGAATTCTGGTGTGACTAGAGGTCTGTGTGAGTCAGAGGGAAGGGTGCAGGATGAGGTTGGAAAGACTGAGACCAGATTATGAAGAGCTTTCCAAGTCCTACTAGGGAGTTTGAATGTCATTCTGTAGGCAACATGGAGTCATCCAGGGACTAGACATGAGGAGTTCTGGTGGCAACGTAGAAAATGGCATGGGGTGGGAGGCTGAGATTCCAGCTTGGAAGAGTCTAGGGAAGAGATTATCAACAGAACTTTAATGGAGATACTGAGAATGAAGAGAATGGGTATTTGAAAACATTTCCATTTCTTTCCAATTCAAAAGTAATACATGGTTATTATTTAAAAACTAAAACATTTGAGAAATGCATAATAGAAAAAGAAAGTGCATCCCATAATCTTTCCATAAGAAATCATTATTGACAATTTGGGGACTACACCTCTGGTTTTAATTCTCTATTACAATGATTATCCCTTTGTTTTTCAACCCAAACTTTTAACTCATTCCTTCACATCCTGTTTTGTGTAAACCATTTACTCATTGTTTGCTATGTGCCAGCTATTGTAATGTTTTACTTATGTTATATTGTTTACTTTCCAAATACTATGAGGACTACATATTATTATTATTATTATTTTTACCATTTTACAGATGAGGAAACTGAAACTCAGAGAGAGTAAGGATATTGCTCAAGATTATACAGCTAATACATGACAGAGCCTCGTTTTCCATGCAGATCTGACACTAAATCCCATGTTCCTTTCCATTAATATACTTTTAAGAAGATTCGAGGACCATTCAGATGTGAAGGGAGAGGGAATTGTTGATGCTCTTGAGGACAGGGTAGTGGAACAGTTGTGCCATAATCAGTTTTACCTGTTACCATTTTCTTTCTTTTTTTTTTTTTTTTGAGATGGTGGAGTGCAGTGTTGCGATCTCGGCTCACTGCAAGCTCTGCCTTCTGGGTTCAAGCGATTCTCCTACCTCAGCCTCCTGAGTAGCTGGAACTACAGGTGCATGCCACCACGCCTGTCTAATTTTTTGTATTTTTAGTAGAGACAAGGTTTCACCTTGTTAGCCAGATGGTCTCAATCTCCTGACCTTGTGATCCACCTGCCTTGGCCTCCCAAAGTGCTGGGATTACAGGCATGAGCCACCACACCCAGCCCGTGTTACCATTTTCTAATTTAGCACTGAATGCTAGAGATTTAGCCCTTCCTAAAAGTCAGGATTTTTACTGAATTATCTCTTGTGAAGTCACTTTAAAACCTAGGACATAACTTGATTGGTACATTTATACATCAAACAATAATATTAAATGAGAATATGATAGTAACATTCTATATAGAACCTAAGTTTAACCACAAAGAATGTAAGACAAAAAGCAATTGATAGTTGTCTATCAAAGAGAATTATCTGGATATGTGGTATTAAACATGGTGGAAAAGATTTGGAGCCCAAGTTTTATGAAAAGATTATAAATAAGGACTTACTCTAAATGAATTTGTCTTCTGGCTCAGGCAAACGACATTCTAGGGTACTGAGAGAACTTGAGAATGAGGTCACTGAACAGCTCTCAGTGATCCGTAAAGAACTGTGGCCAGTGTGTTCCAGAAGGCTGATGTTAAAATCATAAATTTCTCCCAATTATCCGTTTTTTAAAGTTTATTATAAAAATTTTTAAGCAGTTTCGTTTTGGCAATTATTTTATAGATGGTGCTATGTAGTTCATATTTCATCACATCAGGAGATGTACTTTTAGTAATACTAAGACCGAGCAATGGGTTCAGATGGTGACAGTCTAATCCACTATAAAGTTTCCCATCAACCTTAAACTTGTTTTTCCATCCATTGATGAACATTGCCTGATTCTGTCATTTCACTAGAGGTGACAAAAAGGTAATTTTGAATTCCATCATTTCTTTTGTATATTTTATTGGCTAAAGTAGTTTTATAGAGAATACTGTCATTCACCCACCACAGCTTCAGGCATTAGAATACTCTGAAGTACAGTTCATACAAGAGAGGCAGAATAAATGCTCAATTTTTTTCTTTTAATTATCATTTTAGAGAAAAATAAGATATCCTAGGAACTTTCATTAGTGTCTAATGAGTTATTTCCCTTCCTCCCTCTGCCTTTATATATGTGTGTGTGTATAAATATATATATATTTATATACGTACACAGACACACACACTCTTCCAGTATCTGATTAACTAATGGATTGAATGTTTTCTATATGTCTTATTTAGTTCTACACATTTTTTTAATGCTCAGTTGACCATCTGTGGCCCCTTCTAGGTGATATCTCTTAACATATCTCTAAAATGGTTTGTGAGAGCTTCCTTGCTTTCCAGTATAACAAGATATGCCACCCAACTTGTACATTTGCTGACAAAGACTTGAAATTTCTACCAAGGATGTTGGTTATTTTTAGAGAGGAATGGTTCTTAGAGACTACAATCTGGATGCTAGGGGTGCTCATTGACACTGGATTGTTATTGCTTCTAGGCCTTTTTGGTAGACAGAATTAACACATTATTTCATTTATTTATTGAGACAGAGTCTTGCTGTGTTGCCCGTACTAGAATGTAGTGCTGTGATCACAACTCACTATAGTCTCACCTAGGCTCAAGTGATCCTCCTGACTCAGCTTCCCAAATAGCTGGGACTACAAGTGCATGCCACCACACTTAGCTAATTAATTTTTTTTTTTTCATAGAAACAGGGTCCCACTATGTTGCCCAGGCTGGTCTCAAACTCCAGGGCTCAAGCAATCCTCCTGCCTCAGCCTCCCAAAGTGCTGGGATTATAGGCATGAACCACTATGCCTGGCCTAACTCATTATTTTTAATCAGCAAATGTTTCTAGATTAGAAACATACCTTCTTGACTATATTGAAGAGGCCAAGTGTTTGTTGAATGGCATTTTACAAAAGTTTTCCAGGTATTTCCTGGCCTTGTTTACTTCCAGCAATAATCATAAAAATCATTTTTCCCCTTACATAATGTAATCTTTGTTCTTAAATTGAAATATTCTTGCACAAGATCATTCTTCTAACCATTTTCTGTGTAATGATTACTGTAGCTCACTGCTAACTGAGACCATTGCTCTTACATTTTGGCTTTCATTGAATTTGAGAGAGAACTTTCATTATGCTGTCATTATTTGATGGGCATGCCTAGATAGTTGTGTGCCTTCTCCACACTGACACAGTTCATTATAGTCCAGACTATATGATCCAAATTACAGATCAACAGGGAAGATATGATTCAATTCTACAAAATAGTGATTCAGCATTCATCAGATCAACCTTTACTGGGGACCTGCCATGGTTAGCCATTGTGGGAAATGCAATAATTAGGCAGGATCCTTGCCATCAGGAAGCTTATCTATGACTAGAGTAGATTAGGTGAGTTAAATATTGATTCTTTACCAGACCTAAGGATATTAATGTTAGTGGGATTTGAAACTTAACGTATGCTTATCTTTTGGAGCATTTCTTTATATAGCAATCAATAACCTATCAAAAGTCAATATACTAGAGGGTAGTCAGGTAGAAATGATCTATGTGAATTATAAATCCCTTAAAGATTACTGAGGAGAATTGGGATTCCCTTTATATCTCTGTATATCCTTATGTATTTCTAACTTTAAGAAGTTGTAATCTCAGAATGACAGATGTTAAACTGCTGGGATGAAATGACAAGTGTGCTGATCTAGAGGAGTCTTGGTTTTTTAAAACATTCTTTTGTTTCTCAAGAATAAACTCTCAGTGCATCACAGATGGTTTCAATAAGCTTCACGAAATGAAAGGAAAAAGAGAACTAATTATACCCAAAAGTTGGAGTGGAAACTTTTTATAGATAGTCTTAGTTTGGAAATTGAATTAAGAAATGAGAAAATGTTGGCCAGAGATGATGCATATTTTGTATAAGTCAGAGTTTGACTCTCATTAGAGTAGTATTAAGACATTTCTTCAGTTTGAGGTTCATTAAATTCATTATATGCCTGCTTTGTGAAAAACATTATACTAGGCACTCTTTGGAGACTGGGGTAGGGGCAGGAGAAAGTAGCAATCAATGACAGACACCAAATGGAGATAGGGATAGGGGAGGAGAGGAGAAGGTAACAGGATAAGTAAAGCATAGCCCCAACAATTAAATTGATTGTCATGAAGTGAAGAAAATAGACCTATAGCAATTTACTGCAGTATAACATAATACCGAATGAAAAAAGTGTTAAAGAGAAATTACAGACAAGCTGCTGTATGAGTGTGAAGGGCAGAGAGAATAATCCTGAATCGTAGTGATTAAGAAAGGCTTCAAGGAGGAGGTGGCATTTGAACCAAGCCTTGAAAGACGAGAAGCATCTCAGTCATGGGAATGTAAGGAGAAGGGCATTTCAATTGAGGGAATGAGGGGCTCCAGGGAAGTAACGAATGTGATGGGAGATGAAACTGAAAAGTTAAGGTTAGGGCCAAATTACAAAAGTCCACACATATCTTACTAATCAATAAATCTGGATTTTAATTGTCCTTCCCTTAGATTCTTTCTCTAGGCCGACAGCCTTTATTTTATACTCTCTTGAGTACTCTACCAATAAATGACAGCGCTTTTCTCCTTTACATTTCAGAACATATACCCCTCTTTACAACATCTTTAATAAGACCCCACCTGATAACTGTTCCCTGTGAGCCAGTAGCCTGAGTTTCAGGTTTTTCTATTAAGAGAAATCACTAGCACTATAAATTGGCATTCCTTATATGCTACAAAGAATCATGACTATCTGAATATATTAGCATTTAATGTTACTGTGAGTTATTCAGGAAATATTCAAATAATATTTGTGAATATCATTCAGCATAAATAGGACAAAAATGAATAAATACCACCCTGGTATCTTTGTTTGCTGTTTCTTCTACTAATATTTGTAAATTTGATATCGGAAAGTAGTCTGTTTCCTCAATTGAATCTTTATTCTTGAATCTGTCTTTCATGAAAATTCTATAATCTTATAAAGAATAGTTCATTACTTATTATTCAACAAAATGTTGTTGCTAGTAGCTGATGAGTAATAAAATATCTTAAAGTTTTATAGTACCATAAAAGTACCATAAAAACTAGTATTCAGTTGAAATGGTCAATGATATCTCTTTAAAAATATGGTCAAATTTTATTTTATTTTTCTTTTTATTTTTTGGAGACAGAGTCTCACTTAACAGGATCAAGCAATCCTCCCTCCTCAGCTTCCTGAGTAGCTGGGACTACAGGCATGTGCCACCATGCCCAGCTAATTTTTTTAGTTTTCGTAAAGTCAGGGTCTCAGCTAATTTTTTTAGTTTTTAATTTTTTGTAAAGTCAACCATGTTGGCCAGGCTGGTCTCGAACTTCTGAGCTTAAGCAGTCCATCCACCTCAGCCTCCCAAAGTGCTGGGAGTATAGGAGTGAGCAGTCATGCCCCACCAGATTTTTTTGTGGGGGCCCTATACTCTGCTCACTTCCCAGTGTATCACAAATATGTCTTCCTTTGTTCTATTCTTCCTGTATTTACCACACAATTGTCAACTGTATTATTTCAATACAGGGCTTGTTGTACTTGGGCTAAGCATTATTCATTTTCTTAAAATCTTATCACACGCTAGAATATATCTTAAATTTACTTAGAGATTGAATTTGACTTTGAGAGATTGTTGTTGTATTGGAAATGGAACCAATCTAGTATGCCAGTCCTGAATTGTTTCGCACAGTAGATATTTTGTTTGTCTAGCATATTTTTTGCTGTGAGCCATGATTCCACTTAGGATTTAAGTGAGTCAATCAATCCACACCTATTGCATGCAAATCATATATTTATATAGGTCTCCCCTATTTTTTTCCTAAACTCCAGATAGGTGTGTCCTACTGCCAAGGAGACACTTCTACTTAGATATCAGCCATCTCAAAACTAATGTGGTCAACCACAAACTCTTAATTTCTTTTTTTTTTTTTTTTTTGAGACGGAGTCTTGCTCTGTTGCCCAGGCTGGAGTGCAGTGGCCGGATCTCAGCTCACTGCAAGCTCCGCCTCCCGGGTTTACGCCATTCTCCTGCCTCAGCCTCCCAAGTAGCTGGGATTACAGGCGCCCGCCACCTCGCCCGGCTAGTTTTTTGTATTTTTTAGTAGAGACGGGGTTTCACCATGTTAGCCAGGATGGTTTTGATCTCCTGACCTCGTGATCTGCCTGTCTCGGCCTCCCAAAGTGTTGGGATTACAGGCTTGAGCCACCGCGCCCGGCCTATACTGTTAATTTCTTTACTAACTTGTTCCTCTACTAGTTTATTCATCTTAATAAATAGCACCACCACCCACCCAGTGATTCAAGCCAAAAACATAGGAATCATTCTTGAATTCTTAGTTTCCAAATTTATTCCCTCACCCAAGTCCAGCTACATCATCAGCAAGTCCTGTTGACTCTTCCTCTGAACAGTATCCATCACCTGTCCACCATCCTCTGTTCTGCTCCTGCCACCCCAGGCCAAGCCCCTGTCCCCTCTCCTGGGTTCTGCTCCCGTTCTTATATGTCTCCCGCTGTTTTACAGACATTCTCAACAAGAAGCCAGAGTGATCTTTTTAAATCATAAGTTAGCCTTGTCAATTTCTTTCTTTAAACTCTCCAAAGGCTTCCTGTTACACGTAAAATAAAACCACACTGCTTACATTAGCTGACAAAGCTGTATCTGATCTGGACCCTGCCCCTTCTCTCCACCCCTGCCTCGTTTCACACCACTCACGGTTCTTCCCCTACAATCAAATCATGCAGGCCTTATTTCTCCTTTTCTGTTTCGCCAAGCCTGTTCTTGCCATGGAGCCTTTGCACAGTTACTTCCCTTTGCCTGGAACATTTTGCCCTTTACTTTAGTCTAAAGTAAAGTAACTTAAGTAGTCACACACACACACACACACAAAATTAAGTAGTCACCTTTATAATGTGGCGTATTTTATTGTCATCAGTTTTCACAGCACTTCTCACTATATGAAATTATCTTTTCATTGTTTACATTCTGCCTCATCCCCCCTACCCCCAGCTGTCACCACGTTCATATTTGAGTGTATCTGAGTGTTTCAGAATACACTCAAATTCCAGAATATGTCTGGAATAGTGCCAGGCACATAGTAGATCTTCAGAGGGTATTGAATGAACCGTGACAAGTGGTATGTGTGTTTCCATTAACAGCAGTATTGAAATGGTTCTTTTGATGCCATTAATATTATTTTAATAGGATAACAGAATTCTCTATTTCTCTCTTGTTTACGCTTTAGATATGAAGCCCCACAGATTGCCTTACGTTGTGGGATTATGCTGAGAGAATGTATTCGACATGAACCGCTTGCCAAAATCATCCTCTTTTCTAATCAATTCAGAGATTTCTTTAAGTATGTGGAGTTGTCAACATTTGATATTGCTTCAGATGCCTTTGCTACTTTTAAGGTAATTTTTTTTTTCCAAATCAGCTAGGTCAATTTATAGTCACTTGGCCTCTGAAGAGGCAATTTAATTTTAAAAAGCAAGAAATTTTATTTCCTAGCCCTCAGCATAGCCAACCTTGTATGATGTGGATCATAAGAGGCATCTGTAAATAGAATGCAGTTCATGAGATCAGTCTGTCCTATTGCAGGAAAACAACTCAAACTATTTGTCACAAGCTCAAATGGACTGAATTCCAGTATATACGATTACGTGGCAAGAGGAATATGTAGCGCTCTGTGTGTGGCATGCTGCCATTTATGTTAAAAACAGATTACGGGGCTTAAGCTTCCACTTAAGGTATATATGCACTGAATACCTCCGCAAGGATGCATAGGAAACAGCAACAGTGATTAATTCTGGGGAAAGGAACCAGGTAGTGAAGGGAGATGGAGAATTACATCTTTGAATGTGAAGGACATCATGTTATTTTATGAATGTAATTTTTAAATGTCCACATGGTGAAGCAAAACAGTAATAAATTATACTGTCATTTTTTCATAATCATCTATAGTTTGATCATGTATTATCTACTTTGTCACTATGTAGGAAATCGTAGGATGCAGTATATTCACATTGTTAGGTAACCAACTACCAGAACTTTTTTATTTTGAAAAATTCAAACTCTACCTCTATACTCATTAAACAATAACTCCTCATTTCCTCCACCCTCCAGCCCCTGACAACCATTCTACTTTTGGTTTCTGTGTTTTATCATAAAAAAAAATATTCAGAGAATATATCAGAAAAGAGTGCAACTAATTTGCAGACAAACATACCAAAACTTATTCATTTAATGAGTGATGTTACATTCAAGGTTTCTATTTTAGAAAACCAGTTACTTAGGCTTATCATCCTGCTATTATTTAACATATATTGAAGTTAGTATCAATGTGTATTACATGCTCATTTTTCAGTAATGGCAAACTTTTATCTTTCAAGGGCAGATAAAAGTTTTGGAAACAAAAGCCTATTTGACATTCCGGTTAGTGTATAAAGTGGGTGATCAAGTTAGCTAGAATTATTTTGGGGGGATAATAATGATAATGAAAATAATTTTAAGATATAAATAGAAATAAAATAGATATGATTTTCTTCAATGTCTACCAAATCAGCTCTGAAGCCATTTTAGAAGAGGAGTTCAAAAAATGTTATAAACTGACAATGTAACAGCATCATTGAAAAAAACAGGTTTTCAGGTTGAAAAAGTAGATAAGACTCATTTAAATGTATATATATTCAGATTCATTTCTTTAAAAGCATTTTAGCAATTTAATTGTTCTATCTACATAACTCCAAATTAATTTATACTTTTTTCAAGATATACATATGTAACTTTTTTTTTACAAGTTTTCTTGATTGTAATCCATATATTTTTATTTTTTATATATTGTCTTAAATATGTATTTCAATAATATTGATATAGTCCATATACTAATATTAATACATACTCCAATCTTACTACTTTATGAACAGTGATTGAAAGTTGCCTATGACTTAGATGATAAATAGTTCTTTTAAATAGCTCTCCAGAGGTGGAAAAAGGGGAAAGCAGTGGTTTGCTGTGCTGAAAACTACCTGTTATCTGCAGACTAGGAAGTTACCCAGCCTGTTCTAAGAAGGTGCCATAAATCTGTTGAAAGGTATATTAGCTCACATGGTCACAGAAAGTGTGAGAGAGTGTCAGAGAGTGGTAAAGGGCGGGAGATGTCAGTGGGGCAGAAGGAAGCTGGGACTTAGGGAGAAGAATGCCTGGCAGAGAGTGAGGGATGGGACAGGGTCTCCGCGGAGGCAGAGCCTGCAGGCCTGGCTGTCAGAGGGATTTGTTGTGTTGGAGAAGACCAAAGAGTGGTGGGTGGTTAAGGGGGAGGCAGGTCCTGGCAGCTGCCTGGGACACGATCTGTAAAGGCAACCAGGCCATCTCTGGAAATACAGGGAGCAAAGGAAAATCTAATTGATAAGAACTCTGGAGGGAGAATACTGTTTGATAATGATGGGAATATTTGGAAGCCACTGGGGTGGGCTAGGGGTGGATTCCAGGGCAGGCTTAAGCAACAGCAGCTGGTTGTTAACAGCTGCCTAGGAGCAGGGTGAGCCCAGTTAACTGTGGCACTTTTTGAGACAAGGTCTCACTCCCTCACCTAGGCTGGAGTGCAGTGGTGCAATCTCAGCTCACTGCAGCCTTGACCTCCCAGGCTCCGGTGATCCTCCCACCTCAGCCTCCCAGGTAATTGGGACCACGGGCGCATACCACCATGCCCGGCTAATTTTTGCATTTTTAGTAGAGATGGGGTTTTGCCCTGTTGGCCAGGCTGGCCTCGAACTCCTGACCTCAAGCCATCCACCTGCCTTGGCCCCTGCAAAGTGCCAGGATTACAGGTGTGAGCCACTGTGCCAGGCCACTGTGGCACTTTTGTTGTCATAAGCAGGAGGGTGTGCAGTTTCGGACCAGCACTGAATTGCCTGAGACAACAAAGGAAAGCAACCGCAATGCCGTCATTTCCCCAATGCCTCAGGCAAACCTGCAACAAACAAAAGGCCTCTAGCCTCTGGGTTTGAAGGGAAGGAGTTTGCAGTCTGCTCCGGTGTCCACAGGCCTCCATTCAGCCTGCCAGCCTCCTATAGTCTCCCTAAGGAAAGCAGGGAAGAGAGGAGGAGCCCACAGGGGAGGTCTGGGTAGACAGAAAAGGGCCAGGGAAAGAAAGAGAAGGGAAGAAGGGGAATTAATGAGAGGCTGAGTATAAAGAGTGGGAAGCTTGGAGTAAGGAAACCGAAATTTCAGGAGAACAGCCGAGTGAGGGAAGGAAGGAAGGAAAAGAAGGAGGAAGGGCTTGGGAACAGATTCCTGGAAGTGACTGCTGGGTGGAGGGAGGGGCGGTGAGGGCAGCCTGACTCCGGGCTCAGGAGTGTTGGAAATCCCAGGAGTGGCTGTGTCTTACCCAGGAAGACAAAAATTGTACAGCAGCTAGAGATGAACCCCCCAAAAGGTGGATCTAGAGCTAGTGGTGAGATAGGCCTCGGTTGCATCCAACATGAAGAATGACATTAGATACAAAGGATGATTCCATTTCTTTCTACCAAAATGTCTGTGTTTAAACTACTAAGGAGGTGTTTGCTAATAATAGACACTACAGTCCCATGTTTTTTCCCTTTCCTATCAGATGGCTCATCGCTGTCATGGAAACAAGTAAATTCATTTTTGAAAAAAACACAAGTAAGCCTTCATATAATTACAAACATAGAACAAATGCCAATAGAGGGGGAAAGCAAATACTTAATATGTATTTCTGAAAATTTCCCCAAAGGTTTTTAAACATTTGATAGAAAAAAATGTACTTGGTAGTAATTTTTTGCTGTCATATATTCAGCCCAATTTAATTTTCAGCAACAATATTGAATCAAAAATAAATAATGATGTTTTGATTTGTATTTAAGCCAATTTTCCATCGAATTTAAGTCAATCCTTTAAAATCTAAATAATCATAAAAAGTTTTCTAGTGTGCTGCCAGTATTGGAAACACCAATTTTCTATATTTTACCAAATGCTTACGGTTAATATAATGTAACAAATAAATCACTTTTTTTTTTTTTTTAAGTAGCTGGTTTCAAAGGGTTTTGTTTGGTTGGTTGATTTACTGGATTTTGACATTGGCTTTGGGTTTTTATAACCTCCTACTCTCATCTTTTTGGTTTTGAGCTCTTAAAGGGACTGTTGCTCAGTTTAGTTATTAATATTGTAACATTGTTAGTTTATGATTTTAGCATAGAATTTTCTACCAAAAGTCCTTTCCCAAAAAAGGATTCCTTACAACCATAATCTCTTTCATCCCTCCCTCTAAAAATTCCCATAATAGAAGTGGTTTGAATTCTGTCTTTCTCTGCCACCTGGTAAGCTGGATGTCCTTGAGCAATTTAGTTAACCTTTGAGTTTTATTTTCCACATCTGAAATGAAGAAAATCATCCCTTTATCACGGACTTGTGAAGATCAGAAACTGCATTTGCAAAGTGCTCGGTTCACTCCCCAGCACAGTCAGCCCTCTGAACAGCAGCTGTCACTGGCTCCTCAGCCTTTTATGTCCCTGCAATTGTCTCTCTCACTCCACCCCGAGTTTCTCCCAAGCAGTATTCATTAAAAATATCGATATCAGATTTTCAGCATAATAGTTATTACTATGCAAAACGTAGGCCTCTCAAAACAGAATTGTTAGGAGGTAGGATGAAAGAGTACACTATTTGAAATAAGGCTTTTAAATTCTAAATTCTTTAGAGTTTGAACTTTATTTTCCTTCACAATTTTCTGTCTTCTCCTTCTTGGGTAGGATCCTAGCTGTTTTTATTTTTATTTTTTTCACTCAGTTATGTGATCTATAATGCAGCAATTATATTTATCTCTGTATTATATGTACTTAAACCTGTGTGTATATATATGTGGTTTGTACATACATTTATTGTATACATAAATTTGAAGGTATATCTATATATCAATCCTATCACACACTGGAGTGGAAATGTGGGTGTGAGAGAGGGAATGTATGCATTGTTTATTGACTGTATCCATTATATATATATATATATATGCTGGAGGAATTCTACCCCACCCTATTATGGTTTCCTAATACTGGATTTTTAAGCTGTTTCAAGGTTTTCTTTGCCCTTGGAATTTGAAAATGTTGGTTTTAACCTAACTCCCTCCTGATCCCTTTTTCTTTGGGGTAACACTCATGTGTGACACAGCCTTTCTAGGCAGCACTGATCTGCAACCTGCTCTTTTTGTTGCCACTGGAGCTGTGTGCACTGGGGAACCCAGGCCTCACTTTCAAGGCTGATGACAGTTGAAGCAGGTGGAGAACTCCCACGGGTGCAGCAATCCACAGTGTCTGCTGCAGCCCATAGAGGGGGCTCCCTCTACCCTGGTTCAGCTCAGAAAATTCCTATTACTGCTCATGGGGTTTCTATGAGGTTAGGGGAGGGTGCTTGAAAACAGGACGCCAATATTATCCTTTACAAAAAAGGGTAGGGACCTCAAAGGATCCTGTTGATCTACCTTACTCTTTCAAGGGTCCCCTGATGTAGGAACTAGTTTGAATCAAGACCTTTGACAGGGCGGGAATGAAACCCCTGTAAATGGTTTTCCATTTTAGAACTTCAGTTTCAGAACGGTAATGAGTGCTCTGCTCCACCGGGGGGCAGTAGGGGGGGATCCACGTTTCCAACTGATGGGGCCAGTGGTTGATCAAGTTGTGTGATAGCAATAGGGAATTAAGAGTCACACTTATTATTTTTGAACTTGAAAATTATACTATGCAATGCTTTAAATATTTTACTTTTAAAAAAAATTAAAGTAGAAATAAGTGGGTTTTATTATGGTTGTTATCTACCTTTCCTTTGTGAGGTTATGTTGTGTACCTTCTATATGCTTTTAGGAAATTTTAATTAAATATGTATTAAAGTAAGAGAATTTGTTTTGGAAAACTTTTAAATTCTTGTTATGTTTTTAATTAAATTTTTCATGGCAGCTAGACAGAGTATTTAGCCTCTAAGCATATAAAAGGGATTAAGTGAGGCTTGTTTTCCTACAACATTAAGGTGAATTAAGGATATAATTTAGGTATGAGTTGAAGACAGTCAAATGTTTCTTCATGCTTTCGTTCAGTTTTCTGCAAATTTATATCTGCCATAAGATAGGGCTACTCATCTTCAATTTTGAAAGGATGCATTGTGCTACTCAGTAACTTGCACACCACCTCATATCCCATTAATCCAAGAGCGGGAACAATACTGGTTTGACACTGCTAAATGTCAGTTCTATACTTCCAGTATCCAAAGTGCCTTCATTTTAAAAGTTGTTAAGACACTTTGGGAGGCTGAGGTGGGCGGATCACGAAGTCAGGAGATCGAGACCATCCTGGCTAAAACGGTGAAACCCCGTCCCTGCTAAAAATACAAAAACAAAAATTAGCCGGGCGTGGTGGTGGGTGCCTGTAGTCCCAGCTACTTGGGAGGCTGAGGCAGGAGAATGACGTGAACCCAGGAGGCAGAGCTTGCAGTGAGCCGAGATCGCACCACTGCACCCCAGCCTGGGCAACAGAGCGAGACTCCGTCTCAAAAAAAAAAAGTTGTCAACTCATCTCAAGTTCCATTTGTTTCACCAGTTAAAGTATTTCTATCATAAATCTAACAATATGAATTTGAAACACTAGGTTTAACACTAGGATTTTTCTTTTCTAACATGAAACAAACTTGTATTTCACATCTTAGGCTAAGCTAGGAATGGAAATAATTTTGTGGTGTAAATGAAAATGTTCTTCTGCAACTTTTATATGTTCTTAAACCTTAGAAAAGAGACATTTGTAATATTAATAGCTATAACAATTTTGTTTCACTTGGTTTTTCTTTTTCTAGGATTTACTAACCAGACATAAAGTGTTGGTAGCAGACTTCTTAGAACAAAATTATGACACTGTAAGTAGAAATCATTTTTAAAGACTTTCCTGCTTTCTCTTTCCCTCCCTCTTAGATCTGTGAGCAACTGCCCCTGTGAATTATCCACAAGAGAAATCAATCGTTTTCAGCCATACTCCTGATTTGTCTGCCTGGAAACCAGGTGATCAGGAAACTTTATGGAAAATTGAGATGGCGGGAGGTCAGGGCTTTCACCTTTTTCACATCTCTTCCTGTTGTGTTCTGAAGCTCCAAGAAATGACTAGCACCTGCTTGCTTAGATGTTGCTCTTAGGAGGCAGTGGGTAACTCCAAAAGGAAGAGAACCCACCCTCACTAAAATAACTCATTTTACTTTGTTGATAATTAGTCTTACTTAGTAGTAAAAATACCAAAAATATTTTTTATCTTGCAACTCCCTGCCCTGACAGTGAGTCCAACTCAGCCTTTTGAGATTTGGTTGAACTATGACTCTTTAGGAAGCTTTCCCTAATCTCATCCCTCCCAAAACATGCATCTCTCTCTCTCTCTCTCTCTCTCTTTCTCTCTCTCTCTCTCTCCTTTCTCTCTCTCTCTTCTCTCCTCTCTCCTCTCCTTCCTGTCCCCTTCTCTCTTTCTCTCTCTGGCTCCCTCTTATTTTTCACCTTGTATTATTATGGTGTGTCTGTATCTTTCTGGCTGGCCCTTGCACCCCCTAAGAGGCAGGAATCTTATCTGCAGGACACAGGGTTAAGAGCACAGTATGGACTATAGAGTCTGCGTGCTTGCTTGGCTTCAAAACCTGCCTCCTTACTAACTGTGTGGCGCTGGGCAGGTTACTACACCCACTGCAAAATGAAGATAGTAATAATACCTGCATCATACGGTTGTTGAGGGAATTTGACAATATTTAAAGTTTTTAGCACAGGACCAGAGTAAGCACTCGGTATTAGTTTTTAATCATTGTTACTAATTTCCTAATACCTAATGCAGTGTCAGACATTTGGTGGTGACAGATCCATCCAAGAGCAACTATGCTTTTACTAAATGTATAAGCAATAGAAGCAGCATGATTAAAGTATAATATAGCACAAACCTGGAAGGAAAACTTTACATGTTTTGTTCTAGTGTTGGTTCAGATGCTCTAGCTCAGTGCTGTCCAGTAGAAATATAATGCAAGCCAGAAATGAGAGCCACTGTGTAACTTAAAATTTTCTAGTTAGCCACACAAAAAGGTAAAAAGAAACAGGTGAAATTAATTTTAATAATCTATTTAACCCAACATATCAAAAATGTTATTCCAATGTACAATCAATATGGAAAATGATCATCGCTTCTCGGTCTTTTGGCTAAGATGAAGTGAAAAATGATCGAGCTATTTTACATCCTTTTTTCATGCTGAGTCTTTGAGATCTGATGTGTATTTTACACTTAGAGCACATCTCAGTTTGGACTAGCCACATTTCAAGTGCTCAGTAGCCACATATGGCCCTATGTTGGAGAGCATGCATCTAAACTAGGACTTAGGGAAGGGTGGAGTCTCTGATCCTCATCCTAGCAACAGCCAGAGTTATTTTCTACTGGGGTTTTTGGCATTTTTACATGTGTTAGTTAATGTTACTACTCTATCCCCATCACCCAGTCTAGTGCCTGACACATAACAGCAGGAATGTAATCTGCTGTCTTAAAGGAGCACTTAACTATTTATATTATTGATGCCCAAACCAAGAAATTCTAAATGTTTATATATATGGTATGATGGGTGGATTTTTTGTCTTTGTCTGTTAAAAGCAAAAAACAATTTCATGTGTATATGATATTTATGGTAGTAATAAGTAAATTAAGGTAAAGTAACTTTATTGATTGAAATCTTTAGTATTGAATTAAATTATATGTACTTACAAAAAGAAGTGCATTTTTGATGATAACTATGACTTTATGCCTTCCCTACAGTATGCAGTGTAGTTGGGCACATAAGAGGCATATGGACCAGTGGTAGCAAACAAATATTAATAATAGTCCTCAAGGAGTCTCTGAATCATTTATATCCTAGACAAAAGTTGCAGCATACTCCTGAATGCTGAGAAGGTGTGGCCTACTCTACCTATCAATAGTATATCTTCACACATTCAAATCACAAATATTTAACTACTTGTCTTTTTATTATAAGTAAAATAAATTTTATTTTTGCCTGTGTCCTTCAATTTAAGATTAGGAATTAGCAATATAATTATAAAATCAAAAGTGATTTTTATGTCCTCAGGTGATAAAGGAAATAGCCATAGAATCAACTAGAGTATTTGTTTTAAGTGTAAAATGTGAGGGGAGAATGATTTTTTAAATTGATACAAAATAATTATACATGTTTATGGGGTATATCGGATATGTTGATATATGCATACAATTTGTAATGATCACATCAGGATAATCAGGATGCCCATCACCTCAAATATTTATCGTTTCTTTGTGTTGGGAACTTTGCAAATCTTCTCTTCTGGCTATTTTGAAATATACAGTAGATTATTAACTATAGTCACCCTACTGTGCTGTTGAATGCTAGAACTTATTTCTTCTAACTGTATTTTTATACCTATTAACCAACCTCTCTTCATCCCCACTCCCTCCTACCTTCCTCAGCCTCTGATAACCTCATTCTACTGCAAGGAGAATAATTTTTATTGGCAGAGGCATCCCAAAATGTAAAGACTGAAAGAGGCGGGTGGATCACGAGGTCAGGAGTTCAAGACCAACCTGGCCAAGATGGTGAAACCCCGTCTCTAATAAAAATACAAAAATTAGCCGGATGTGGTGCCGGGTGCCTGTAATCCCACCTACTTGGGAGGGTGAGGCAGAGAATTGCTTGAACCCAGGAGGCGGAGGTTGCAGTGAGCTGAGATCGCTTCACAACACTCCAGCCTGGGAGACAGAGCGAGACTTGGTCTCAAAAAGAAAAAGAAAATTGTCTGTTTTTGAATTTAGGAAATGAACTGTTAATATATAGTTTGGTTGTTCAGTAACTATATATGCTAAATGGAATGTTAAGGAAAGATTCATTAGATGTCACATTTATAAGAAATGAAATTTTTAAAAGGCTAAGATAATATGGAAAAATCTACACTATCAACTAATTACTATTTTCTCCTATAGAATGAATGAGGTAAATGTGTTGTGCTGTAACGCTTTGCATTCAGGTATAATACATGACAATTTGAGAGACTAATAAATTCATTCTCTTTGACTCCTTATTTACCTAATTTTGTTTTTACATCCATATGTCACTTCTTGTGTAATTTAGTCATTTCACAGCTGGTGAGGCTCCTGCATTGGCCTGAATACGAGCTCTGAGAACTCATGCCCCTTCAAACCTTTCAGACTTTTTTAGCTGATATTTCTTTAGCAGTACACCATGAAACTGGAGCACATGGTGCATGACTCTAAAGTAATAAAGCTAGTGGACTGGGGAGTAGGGTCCTACCATATACATGTATTTGCATTTTATATTTACTGTTCAAATTTATCACAAGGCTTGTCTGATGCATTTAATGACCCACAAAATTCTCCTTGTGTTTCAGGATAGAATAAACAAGTCATTCATATTAAAGAGTATAATTACTGTGATTTTAATGTGAGCGACACCTTTGTGTTTTGACGTTTCACTTTATTCTCTATCGGTGATTGTCAGCGTGCACAGCTTGCCCTCGTTAACACAGCAGCACACGTACTCCCCTCGCACTTGACTCTCTGAGGGCTGGGAGTTTATCACCCTCGTCAGTTCCTGATCTCTTGCCCTCCATCCTGGCTGCGCTCGTTCCTCCCACTTCAGTGCTCTCTGAGCCGTGTGCCCACACCCGGTGGAAGTGAATGCTGAGCCTCCCCAGATGTCAGCACTCTGTGTTAAACTGAAGGGCTAGGCCATGTTTGGTGACCATGTTAGGAAACAGGACTTCATGCACCAGTGTCCCCAGCTTCCAGTGACAGCGAAGTGCTCCAGAGAGAACAGTTGGGCCGTCATGCAACAAAGGTTGCCTCGTTCTTTATCTGTTTATGCAGCGAATTGAACAGTCTGATTCTCTATGGCTTGCCAAGTGAAGCCTTAAGTGTATCTAATATTTTCCCAAATTGTGGACCCATAGCCACCAGCAAGGCAACTTACATAAAGATTTCTTTAAAATGAGTTCTCTCGCAACTTTTACTAGAAGTTTTGTTCAAAATGATTTATTGGAAGGACTCAAAATTACTCAGTTTTTATCTATTCAATTTCTAATTTGCAGAACTAAAATAAAACAGGGAACGATATCTCTTAGAATTCTTGACCTCCCTGCAGTGTCTTCACATGTAAAGAAGGATGGTAAAATGGCCAGAAGTTGGGAATTTGCTCCTGAAGAAGCAAGCCAGCCAGCCTAATAAGGAGAATCCACTGCTGCTTTTACACTCTAATGTGTATTTTCTTTTCATTAGATTTTTGAAGACTATGAGAAATTGCTTCAGTCTGAGAATTATGTTACTAAGAGACAGTCTTTAAAGGTAATATCAAATTTCTTTAAGTCAGTGTCCCCGTAAGTTGATATCTCATTAGCAAATGATGGGTCTATTAGTATATGAGTAAACACAGAAAAATTAAAATATCTTTTTTTATAACTTGAGAAGTACTTACTATGTTTTATGTTATGACTGTATTTTATAGCAAAATAATGTAAGTGTCCTGTCTTGCTTTTGGAAGTAACAATGTAAGTGCCTGATAAGTAAAATTTAGAATATTTCTGCTGAGGCCAGGCATCTTGGCTTACACCTGTAATCCCAGCACTTTGGGAGGCCGAGGTGGGCGGATCACCTGAGGTCAGGAGTTTGAGACCAGCCTGGCCAACATGGCAAAACCCCATCTCTACTGAAAATACACAAATCAGCCAGGTGTGTGGCTACTCGGGAGGCTGAGGCAGGAGAATCGCTTGAACCTGGGTGGCGGAGGTTGCCGTGAGATGAGATTGCATTACTGCACTCCAGCCTAGGTAGCAGAGCAAGACTCAGTCTCAAAAAAAAAAAAAAAAAAAAAAAAAAAAAGACGTAAAATGCAAAAAGTCAACCTTCCCTCTAAGTTTTAAGCACAGCAATTGATAAATTCTTAATATCTGTATTTTTGAGAATAAAATAATTTTTTACTATCAAATTATGTTTATATAGTTGAAATGTTATGGTGCTTCTGTTTTATGGGAAGCATTTATCTCCCAGATTTGTAACATATTTTCCTAAAGAATTTTTTATACTATATTTCATCGCCAGGTCCCATTCCCTGAGCATTCACGTCAGTCAGTGTTTTCCTGTAGGTTACTTAAAAGACTTCCACCACTTAACATGACATGTTCACATTATATTTACAGAAGAGATTCTGAAATATGAAACATGGTCATTCCCTAAGAATTAGAAGAGAAATTTTTTTAAAAAATCAGCTCTAACAAACAGATATATCAGAAGACTACATGATCACATCTATGAAATTTTGCTTTTCTAAAATACTGCCAGGATTACACTGAAACAGAATCTGGCAAGAGATTAAAAGACGATGCAGCTAGCTGGAAACAAAAATAAAATCAATTATCAATTACCCGTAAATAGCATAGTTTGATGAATTATTGGAGAAGGAGGTGTGAGGGAGGTAATAAGACATTCCATTTAGTCAACAAATATTTATGTGCTCATTCTACAGACATATCATGACAGCCAAGAACAGCTCTGGGCTTCACATTCTGTTGGTGGAAAGCAGACAATAGACAAATAAACAAATAAATCCATAGTTTTCAGATGGTTTTAAGTACTAAAAAGCAAAGTAGGGAAAGGAGGCCGAAAGCGGTGACTTGGGAGATAGGGGTGTGCGTACCAGAGCAGCTAGATGATCAGTGAAGTCTCTGATAAGTTTATCTTTAAACAGAGGGCTAAATTTGTGAAAAATTAAGATGCCTTTGATAAGGGTGTTTGTGTGTGTGTGTGTGTGTGTGTGAAACCCAGTTACATCTGCTACTTGAGGATATGCATCTATTGACTGGCTGTGGAAATGACAAGGAACCCAACAGCGTAAGACCACATCCATTTATGAATGGCCCTCCCTCCCTCAGTGGAATGGTGCCTGGAAGCAGCCATGTGGCCAAGGGGAGGTGGGAGAGCCCCTGAGGGGAGGGAGATGTGGACTAGAGTTGTATCTCTGCCCTTCAGATCCCACTCAGAATCCCACAAAAAGAATGTTTCCAGCAGTTGATACAACTGACTGTTTTTAGCGCAGCAACTCATATGATGGTCCGGCTTGCTAAATATCACACTTGTATTATTATTTTTTCCTATTTTTTCTAGGTTTGGGATATAGTGTCACATACTTGTGTTATTTTTACACGTCAAGATGATGGCATTCATAGAACAATACATTTGCTTCTAAATTTGGAGTATAATTTTAAACTAAGACAATAAAGTCAATCTGTTTTGTGTGACATTTTTTGTCAATTTACTTTGCCCACCATCCTGCATCAGCCATGACCTGGTTTCCTTTGTATTTGCGCCCCCACTGCGTGTTACTGGGGAGGCCATTTCTCAGCCAGCCATCCGGCACTTTTTATTGAGTTTCCCCTTTGTGTAGAAACTCATACCAGGAGACCCACCTAGAAAAAAAGCCCACAGATATGCTGCTGTCTGTGCTGGAGCCAGTAATGATGAGACCAAACTGTGTGTGGAACTGACCTTTGGGCAGAGAGTGACTTCAGTGCTGTGTTCTCCCATGTCCAGAAAGCTTGCTAAGAGCAGATGAAGATAAGGATGTATTCTGTTTATACAGCTGGATACATAAAGAATTCGTTATTTGTAGGGCTCCACAAGGATAGCCAAAATGAGATAAGCTTGTCCGTGGTACAATAAGTAGTGGCCCTCGAAGGAAGATGGCAACTGGAGTAGTAAACAGAGGTGATGGTGCTCTGAAGGGCCAGCATATAGGAAGTTGCTCATAAATTCTCCAAATCTTTCCTTTTTTTCAGTGGGGGTCTGTCAGATACTGGATCAAAATTGAGAGATTTGTATGAACTAAGGTGATTGAACCAAATTAGGAGGAAGAAAGCCATTTGTACTTCCTACTTATTTATAGATGCCTCAGCCTACTCATGAGGCATCTTTCCTGTTTTTCATTAATTCACCCAGATGTACTGTTTGGCTGTTATTCCTGCCTAAAATCTTTACAGTTAGGCGTCTCATGGATATCTGATTTATAGCATGGTAAAACCAAGCATTGGTGGGACACTGAAAAAAATGCCTGACAAAATGCAGATAAATTACCTAAGAATGAAGAAAGTATTAAAATGGTTACTGGAGAGTTGGGTTTTTTAACGTTAGATTATAGAAAGAGATGTTGCCAAAATTGTTTTGCATCACTCTGTTCAAGCAAACAAAAAGGTAGATGACTGTGAAATAAGTTCATATATAAACATCGAGCTCATTAAATATTGTTTACTCTTTTTTTTTTTTTTTTGCTAGAAAAATGTTCTGGAAGCTCCACTGATGCAATTTTGGTTTTTCCTTTTGGTAATTAGATCTGTGGTAGCAGTATATTCTGTTTTGACACAACGGTGTTTATATATAAATGGATTCTGTAATGCTTTTTACATAGATGTTTCATAATTGCAGGAAACAAGAGAGGTTAGATTATCATATAGCAACTTTGTAAGTAATAAACTGTCTTAAGTACTAGGTTATTTTCTGATTCCAAAGTACTTGCTACCTGCTGCCTTTCGTTAATCATATTCTAAATTTTCCTGCACTGCCTTAGGGTGCTTAATTCCTGGTGTCAATAAAGAATAATTAACAGAGAAATTCCTTTTAATCATGTGGCAGAGCTTAGGAATTGTTTTCTTCTGCAGAGGCCTGGCATTTAATTACCAGCAAGAAAGATTATCATTCAAAAGAAGCTTGGTGGAAACTGGGGAATTTTTTGGGCTCTGGTCAATTTCATTAAAACACTTTAGTTTCTAAAAAACTTATTTCCACTTGCTATATGGCTTAACTAAGTACTATGAGGCATACAAAATAAGAACTTTAAAGAAGTAAAATATGTGTGTTTTCCATTTACGTGGTATAGTATTGCTTTATAGTGCTTTGCATTATTCTGGAATGCTGCATTTTGTCATTGTTAATAGTAAAATAGATTAACATTTAATGGCTAAAAGATTTAGTGTTGAATTAGCACAATTAATTGTTTCAGAAAAATTGTGAAATTCTATTAGCAGAGGATAGATTGGATAGAATTTATATGTAGGTATTCCCAGGTAATAATAATTGAAGTGACCTAATCTGAACTTAACTCATAAATATAACTTCAACAAATGTTTATTGAGTATGTATGTGTAAATTTTTAAAAATGAAATTTTCCTTTTGCTGAAGCCTTTTAACATGTGTGTATATGATACATATGTGTCTATTCAGTATTTGATTCTTTCTGTATAGATCTTTAGGAGATAAGTAAGCCTCTTGACAGGCTTACAACCCAGAAGTTTTTTAGTTTTTGGTTTTTCTTTTTGGAGGGTCTGGAAGCCATACCTTTGAAATATAAGCATCTAGGAAGATAATACTGTTTCCCTGTCACCAGGAGAGTTTAACCGTTTTCCAAACTGCAACTCTTTGCTTGTCAGAGAGATAAGAGAAGTTTTATTATTCAGATAAATAGCTAAAACAAATGGTCACCTCAATTGCTAGGTGCATTAGGGTGAACCATGAAAGAGTGCACAGAAATGGTAGTCAGGTCCTCCCCTAGTGGACAGGTTACCCTTCAGCTTGAGGATATATGTATGTAATGGATTGTAGCTGCTTGACTGTAGTAAGGGACAGTTTTGTCTGTTTACAGTCTCTTTCAGAGATTAGTTACCATATTGTGCTCTGGATATGTGGGTAGGACTTTTATTTCCCCAACAATGCCCATGTACATCACACAGTTAGGTTGTAAGGGGATTTGAAACACGCCCTTATGGAGCTTATTCTTTAAACAGGGTCACAAATAACTCTGCACTACAAGGCAAAGCAAACTCAACTGTAGAGAAGAGGAAAGGCTTTCCCAAAGACAACGTCTGAGCTAGTTCTGAGAGGATGGGTCAGGTTTGAACAGGCAGAGAAGAGGTCAAAGTGTTTCTCAAGATTTTGGAGCTGGGGAAGTAAAGCCACAGAGACAGGAGAGCAGGGAAGATGGAGGAAGGGAGCCGAGGAAAGGAAGCAAGAGAAATGATTCCACATCACAGAGGCTGGGAACGGCATCTTCATGAGTTTACTTTTTTTCTAAATCTATGGGAATCTAGGAATTTGCTTGTTTATTCATTCACTTTCTAATCTAAGTGGAATTGGTAACAAATACTGATTTTTGGAAGATTTCTTTGACAAAATGTGCAGCATGGATTGGATTAGGTAAAGACTGAAGGAGAGACCATTTTGCATGCTGTGGCAGTAGGTCAGCTGAAAGGTAGTGAGGGTTTGAATGAGATTACTGGCTGTGAACATTGAATGAAAGGTGTTCAAGAAACACTTAAAAACAGAAAACTGGTAGTTCTTGGATGGATATTTGATGTGAGGAGCAAGGAAAAGAAAGGAGCTAAGGAAGACTTCAGCTGTCTTCCCAACTGGAGGAGGGTAGCTCCTGATGCCATTAACGAAGAGAAGAAAGGGAGTTGCTTTTAGAGACGCTAAGTGTGACAGTCCAGCAGTGTTCAAGTGGGACTGCCCAGTGGGCAGTTAGAAATGTGGGTCCAGAGTTTAGGAAAGAAGCTGAGACTAGAAATGTAGATTTGGGAGATATCCTCCTAGATGTTACAGTTGAACCCATGGGTATAGATGAGACTGTTGGGAGATAAAAGATAGCAGATCCAAGTATACAGCTTGGAAAATTGCTGCACAAGTAGTACAAAAGGCAAGGGAGCCATAGAAGAGGTAGCATAGGAACAAGCTGCACAAGGTAAGAAACCAGGAGCAAAGAAAGTTTCCAGAAGGTGTTAGGTTAGCTTTAGAAGCTGCAGAAAGATGAAGGAGGATGCAGATTAACAATTTGACTACACGGTTGCTATTCCATATGTATGAGAATAACTAGTGACCAGCCAATATCCAACAGGGGTCATCCTTTTTTCAGGTTTAACAAATGTTATTTTTATGCATTAAAATAACCTCAGGTTGTGTACTTCTTACATGTTAAATACACAAAAGATACATCAGAGGCAAAGTGGTAGTTTACTGGCAGCCAGATGCTTGCACACATCTGGGATTCCTTTGATAGACAGTGGGCCCTCAGTTTGATGTGCACTTTTCTTCCCATCCAGGATTTCTGTAACCATGTAACTATGTGGTACTCTCCCAAGGCCTTCAGAAAAAGTCCAGTAAATAGGACATTTGAAAACTAAACATATCTTCTATATAAAATTATGTTACAGTAAGTTTCAGCCCCCCTGGCTGCTGAAGCTTTAGGAATTGCTACAGCAGCCAAGGGGCTGTAATTCTGTTCTCCAGAATTATGGTGAGAAAAAAAAGTTTCTGAGATAGAGCAACAATACATTCAGCCGTGTTGCTGGGGGTCTTCAACTACTCTTAGTTTGGGTATTTTTATTTTTTGTTTAGGGTAATGCTGTATTTGGGGAACTATTAATTTGTCACCAAAAAATGTTTTGCTTTGCTTTGTAATAAAAACTTGCTGCACTTACTAAATTTGATATGGATTTGGGCTCAATTATTTTTTTCTGACTTTATATCAGGTTTCATAATAAAAGTCGGGGAAATGTAAGAGTCATTTAACAAACTGTCTTAATAGTGAACTCCTAGTGTACATTTATGCAGGTAAAGAAGGCATCATTATGATACCAATTTTGTTATTCCTTCTACCTGAATGCCTATGCAGCAATACATTAGTGGGAAGCAAGATAATTAAAGTAAGTATTGAAAACCATAAATTTGTTTCTGCCTAGCTCTAGGTGAGCTGCATCTAAGACCGACTAAAGAGAGGTACTAAGCACTGAGATAAGCAAAACGGTGTGAAAAACTTACTCAATAACTACTGCATTTATGCCTGTGCTTTAAGATGCACTTAAGGACACTCTAATTTTTTTCCTGACACCATTCTTATGCACATTTATATTTTGTTTTTCAGTGAGAAGACGTGAGCTGTATTTTGAGTCAAGTGGCTCTGAGATTACAGCTTTGGTTTTGTGTTTTCCTCTAGCTGCTAGGGGAGCTGATCCTGGACCGTCACAACTTTGCCATCATGACAAAGTACATCAGCAAGCCGGAGAACCTGAAACTCATGATGAACCTCCTTCGGGATAAAAGTCCCAACATCCAGTTTGAAGCCTTTCATGTTTTTAAGGTAAAAAGTACAAGCTCTGGAAACAATGTTATAGGCAATTTTTTTTCCAGTTCCAAATGGCAAACTCCCTGCTCTTTACTCTCTTTTATACTTGAAAGAAAATGAAATAGGCAGTCTTTGTGTTTTGCATGATTTAAATGAAATTTCGGAGTTATGTTAATGAATGCCCATTCATAAAGGTTTGCTGACTAATCCACACATCTAAATATTTTTATTTTTTCACAGAGAAAATGCGTGATACTCTTTCCCAAAACTTCTAAAACAATCAGTGATTGACTAGATCCCAAACCCTGAGTGTCAGGCTTGAATACTTTGCTTCGTACAAGCACTGTCTCTTTGAACTTTAACTGACACCCTGAAGACACAGCCGGGTACTACTGACTTTATTCATATTATTATTTTTTTACAATGTATTTTGTTATGATAGAAAAGTAACCTCTTTAGACAATAGATTTTATTTTATTTTTTTTGAGATTGAGTCTCACTCTGTTGCCCAGGATGGAGTGCAGTGGCACGATCTCGGCTCACTGTAACCTCTGCCTCCCAGGTTAAAGTGATTCTCCTGCCTCAGCCTCCTGAGTAGCTGGGACTACAGGCGTATGCCACCACTCCCGGCTAATTTTTTTTTATTTTTAGTAGAGCAAGTTTCACCGTGTTAGCCAGGGTGGTGTTGATCTCCTGACCTCGTGATCCACCCTCCTTGGCCTCCCAAAGTGCTGGGATTACAGGTGTGAGCCACCACCCTTGACCCTACAATAGATTTTTTAACAGGTGGGGTAGGTGGGAGAATTCTATTTGTAATTCTGTATTCCCAGCCTAACTATTGTAAACAGTTTAGTATATTTTATTTTCCTGTGCACACATTCCAGAGTTTTTCTACAGCTGTATTCACATTGTACTAACAATTGATATCCTAATTTTATTACTTAATGCTATACCATAAGTAACCATTTTCATTATTGCTATAAGTAGTTCTTAGAGCCATTATTTTTCTCACCATCATAGTGCATCATTGGGTATATTTCTTCTTGTCATTGATATTTAGGTTATTTGCATTTTTTCCTACTCTTAAGTAATGCCACAATGTGCATTTTATGCATCCAGCTAATTTTTTTTAATATTTAAAATTCTTATCATATGATAGATATCTAGAGTGTAAATAAGAGTTCAGAGAGTCCCAGAATTTTTTGGTTCTTATTTCTAAAAATCTTTTAAAATTTTATTTATTTTTTAAATTCAGAGACAGGGTCTTGCTTTGTTGCCCAGGCTAGAGTGCAGTGTGGTGTGATCATGGCTTGCTGCAGCCTCAAATTCCTAGGCTCAAGCGATTCTCCCACCTCAGCCTCCTAAGTAGCTGGGACTATAGACACGGGTCACCTCGCCCAGCTAAGTTTTTTATTTTTTGAAGAAATAGGGTCTCGCTATGTTGCCCAGGCTGGTCTCAAAATCCTAAGCTCAAATGACCTTCCTGCCTCAGCCGCTCAAAGTGCTAGGGTTGTAACTGAACACAAGTCAGATTGCTCATCACATGCAGAGTCCAATTAACAAGAGGCAGGTCTCGTAAAAAGAAAGTGACTTTATTAGCCAAAACTAATAATAGGAAAGTGGCCAGATTCCCATCCAATGCAACTACTTTGAATTGTAGGGGCAAGGCCAGGTTTTAAAGAGAGAAAACATGATATGGAAAGCGTGTAAAAATTATGCTGAGTACAATGTCTGCGTTTCTTGTTCTGGTGGCTGTCTTGGGTCCCAGTCCAGGTGGAAAGCAGGCTGGCGTCATCTCAACAATGGCTGGGTTGTTGACTAGCCACCCTGAAGTTATCTCTGGAATTTTGCAGCTGGGTCTCCAAGCTTGGTCTGACTCAAGATTCAAGTTTAGCCCCTGGAACTTCTAAGTAGGCAGATAATTAGATACCAGCATGCAGTTAGATAAATGTGAAGGGAACATAGACAGTGAGAAAGGGCTGGGACATGGAGTCTATTTTAAAACTAAGGGAAAAAGCTTCTGCAGTTTGCTTCAAGGTTACATCTTTAAGCCCAGGAGAAAGGGGAAAAAAACGTTTTAAAATGTATTTTGAAGTTAAGCTGCTTAGTTACAGGATTACAGGTGTGAGCCATGGCACCTGGCCTCGGTTTTTATAAGGTATGTTTAGTGATAGAGTTTGTAAGTCCATAAATGGGAGGCATGGCAGTTTTTAAGGTAATTGTTGCTTTGAAAGGTAAGACATTTTCAGTTGATCTTTCAGCCACCAGATATTTGTTAATTCATTTATATATAGATATATATAAAATTAAAGAGATACGTAGGGTGAGGTATGGGGAAAGGGGCATGGAGCTTCCATGCCTTCCCTGAGCAGCCACCCTCCAGGAGTCTCCATGTGTTTGGCTACCTGGAAGCTCCAGTGCAAATATTTATTGTCCAAAAACCCGTTAGAGCAATTAAAATCCTGAACTAATTGATAAATTCTATTCAGTTCCTTTCAGAATTCCAACTGGACTTTCTCTGGAGCTTGACAAGCTGATTCTAAAATTTGTGTGGTAGAGCAATAGCCTAGGATTATCTATGGCAATGTTGAAGAAGGAAGTAGAGGAATCTACTCTACCGGATATTAAGACTTGTTATGGATTTAAAGTAAATGAAAACAGCATTGTATTGGCTTAGAAATTGATAAATAGAACAGCAAAACAGAGTAGAGGGCCCAGAAGTAAACCTATATAAATCTGAAACTTGATATTTGATCATGGAGGGATTATAAATCAGTGAAGAAAGGGTTAAGTATTCAATAAATGTTTCTTGGATAATGGGTTGTCCATGTAGAGAATCTTACCCTGCAGTATACACAGAAATAAGTTCTAGATAAAGATCTGCACTTGAAAAGCAATTTTTTTAACTTTTAGAAGAGAAAATAAGAGGCTCTCTGTATATTTGGGTAGGAAGAATTCCTTTGAAAAGAAATAAAAAATCACAAAACATAATAGAAATTTTTCTTGAGAAAGGGTCTCACTATGTTGCCCAGGCTGGAGTGCAGTAGTGCGATCATGGCTTACTGCAGCACTGACCTCTCGGCCTCAAGCAATTCTGCCTCAGCCTGTTGAGTAGCTGGGACCATAGGCCTGCCCTTACCATGCCCAACTAATTTTCTTTTTGTTATTTGTAGGGATGAGGTCTCACTGTTTTACCTAGGCTGGTCTCAAACTCCTGGCCTCAATTGATCCTCCTGCCTTGGCCTCCCTAGTGCTGGGATTATAGGTATGAGCCACCATACCCAGCCATAATAGAAAATATTTAAAAATGTGACCACACTAAAATTTTAAACTTCTGTTCAAAAAAGAAGTCATAAAGTGAAAAGACAGGATAGAATGTGATATATATAACTGACAGGTCATTAAGAAAAAGACAAATAACAGAAAAATATACAAAAGATACAAGTTGGTAGTTTGCAGATGAGGAAACCTGATTGGCCAATAAATAGGTGTTCTTCTTACTTGTAATTGTGGAAATGGCCATTAAAATATCAATGAGATACCACTTGATGTTCTTCATATTGGCAAAAATGTCCAACAATATCAGATGTTTTGTAGGATTGGACAGCAGTGGGAACTGTCATACACTGTGTAAATTGGTATAATCACTTTGGAGAACAGTTTAGCAAAATAAACTCTTGAAGCTATGGATACCCTTCAACTCTGAAATCCAGTTTTAGGCAGTTTCTTGGAGACACTCTTGGACGCGTGCATAAAGAGTCATGTACAGTAAATCCTCTCTTAAAATCGTTGATAGGTGCTTGGAAGTGGACTTTAAACAAAACCGTGTACATTACAGCAAGTCCTCGAATAACAATGTTTTGTTGTAAGCTTGATGGGGGAAAATTGTTTGCCTCATCTGTTGCTTTGCTTAAAGTTACAGTTTCTAAGAACTTATCCACCTTAAATAAGGACTTACTGTATAAAGATGTTTATTGCAACATTGTTTAAAATGGGAAAAGCCATACATGGGCACCAAGGGGAGACTGGGAAAATAAATTGTGCTATACACATATAATAGTGCATAATAATGGGTTAAAATAAATAGAGTTATGTGGATTGCTTCGCCTAATCTTAGAAACATTTTGTTGAGTGGAATGACCAAATATTTAAATATGTCATTGATTTAAAGTTTAAAAGCATGCAAGAACACTAAGTGTGGATTCATATATGTGCAGTTAGAGTCCAAAAACATGCATGGAAGCCGGGCACGGTGGCTCATGCCCGTAATCCCAGAACTTTGGGAGGAGGAGGTGGGTGGATCACTTGAGGCCAGGAGTTTGAGACCAGCCTGGCCAACATGGCAAAACCCAGTCCCTACTAAAAACACAAAAATTAGTCAGGTGTAGTGGCACATGCCTGTAGTCCCAGATACTCAGTGGGGCTCGGACAGGATTGTCACTTGAACCTGGGAGGCAGAGGTTGCAGTAAGCCGAGATTGTACCATTGCATTCCAGCCTGGGCGACTGAGCGAGACTCTGTCTCAAACAAACAAACAAACAAACAAACAAACAAACAAACTGCATGGGAATGACAAATGCCAAATTCAGGATAGGGGGTCATCTCAGGAGAAGGAGTAGGGGAGAGAATAAGCAATATCATACAGGAGTATCCAATAGCTTTCAATTATACCTGTAATGTTTTATTTAAAAAAAAAAAACCGAAAGCAAGTATGGCAAAAAATATTAGATTTTGATAGCGCCAGTGGTGGGAATATGAAGTCAGATATGTTATTCCTGTACTCTTCTGTGTGTTAGAATTATTTCATAAAAAGTTTCAAAAAAATGAATGAAATAAAAACAGAGTGCTGTAGGCCTGGAAAATGCCTACACATTATAAAACGGTGGGCCGTCTCAAGACCCTTGGACAGAAGGAATTGAAGAAGGCTGTGTATCATGTCATTCAGCTCCTACAGAAGTTTAAATGAGAATAAACTTCATATAATTTTGTTCAAAAATGCCGTATTATATATAGTA